AAGGATCAAAGTGGTATTCTGAGTTCTGAAAAGAATGCGGACGGCTTGTTGCCTCTTCAAGCGAAACATCAAAGCCAAAAAAAAAACTTCAATGATTAATCAAACAATAGCGAATCGTACTCAGAAGATAAAGGCAGTTTTGCTGACTGTATACCGTACCAGCCAATTTGACTGACAGCCATGCTCTCAAAACTTACACGACATTCGGATCGAACATTGTCACCTCATCGGTAGGATTTATAAAGCTTGTTGGTGATAAGCATCCATACTTTGCGCACAGTGATAGAGAGTTTGAAGGCATACAAAAGAGTAAGAGTGGCTTCGGATCCAGAGATAGGTGGCAAGGTACCTCAAGATCATGATTTGAAGGGCACTGCAAAAACATTCGTATATACATCCAGCGGATAGGATGGGTTCTATGGGCGTAAAATGTAGCCGGTACATCAAAGAAATTATTCATGAATTAGTCTAGAATTGGTGCTCTCTTTCCTACCTTCCCAGCCACTACGCAGGGTGAAAGGCCTCAAACGACAGCCTATGTGTTCTCTCCTATGTGCAGATGTTTGATTCTGATAGCAGTAAGTAAAAGAAGACTTGAAAAGGATGAATAAAAATGAAAAACCCAAATAGGGTGGTATGGCTCAAAGGTCAACATCAAGAAGAGAAAATATATGGAAGTGAAGAGTCAAACTTTGCGAGTCATGTACACTGATGGTGAGAAAATGAGAAAGATGAGTTTCTCAAGCACTAGGGATTGGCATATGTGGTGAAAGACGATTTCATATCGGGCTACGGCCTAGCAAACGCAATTTGGATGAACTGGAGGGTATTCACGGAGCTTTTAGGTAAGCATATATCGATGCAGCCCAATAACAATTTTACTGCACATCCATCGTGCTGTACGACAGTGAAAGTACCATGTACGGTAAAGGAACACGAGCTTGTTGTCATGGACGCAAAAGTGTTGCGGTGGATCTTGGGTTTCGCGATGCGATCACTCTGCAATGACATCGAGCTGGAATAGAGATTGCTTGCTCACCAAATAATGTAAGAAAGGAGAGAGCAATGGTACTGACATATGATGAGGTGAAGCACCCATGTAGAAATAGCAACGTTGCCGGTCCGTGTAAAAAAAACAATGAGAAAGGCATAGGATGAGGTGAATGGACAAAATCAAAGCTGCCTTAGGAAAATTAAACGAACAAAATGCCTTAATGGAGAAGTCTGAAGAGCGTTAACTCGAATCACAAACCTTACCACATCTATATTTCTAGTTTCTTTAGTGAATTTTTTTTTGCTGTACACTGTTTGCCTCGTTGCCTTTTGACCACTTTTTCTGCTACCATCTTTTTGTTTGCGAGAAAGTGTTTGCTTCTGCATTAACTTCATCACATCTTCAATTATTTTTTCTAGAAGTTTTTTTTACTCTTCGTGCTTAGGTTTTTTGATGTTTGCTTTTCCTTTTCTAAAATCAACGGTTATGGTGAAGGTGATAGAAGGAGTGACTACTTGACATCAACTTAAGAGTTACTGTAAGTACTGTGTCGCTTCACGCTTTTAAAGTGTTTTTTAGATAGTACCTTTTTGAATGTTTATGCTATGATGTTGGGGTAATGAGTAAGTGTAGCAATCGTGTATACGCGCTTATAGAGAACGCGTTTCCCT